GGTGGACGACAGGATGTTATCTCTGCAACTTCCTCCTTTACCCAAAATGAAATCCCACCCACATTTCCCAGGGCACAGAAACCGTGGCCTTCACAGGCTTTCCCGTGCCCTACATCAATGGATACAGAATGTAAACCTGAAAGCTGGGGTCTGAGAGGATCGTACAGTGCTACGTAGAATGCAAGAAACCCTGGGCTTGACCTCCAGCACCCCATGAGCTAGGAATGGTGGCACATAGCTAAAAAATCCCAGTTTGGGAAACAGAGACGGGAGGTCAAAGTTCAAGAGCGGCGCTGAAGAGATGGTTTATTTGTTCAGAGCATTTGCTCCTCTTCCAGAGGACCCAGGCCCTGTGCCAAGCGCGGAGCCTCACACTTATCCCTAACTCCAGTTCCAGGGGAGTCCCGTGCATCTTAGAGAACACAGCTCCAAAGAGTTTCCTGTTAGTCAGTCAGCCAGTAAGGCAAAACTTTAGACTTTGTAACAGCCATTCAGCCAAGCCTGGTGTCCTATACCTGTAATCCCAGCACTTGGAAACTGATACAGGAGGATTATTAGTTTGAGACCATTCTGAATTGTGCAGTGAAACCATATACAATAAACTCATGCTAGTAATAAGTAAAAGACTGGAGATGTAGTTCAATGATAAAACTCAAAGCCCTGGGTTCTAGCCTCGGCACTACAAAAATCAGCCAACCAACCAAACCAACCTTCGTCCTAAAGAAAAGTTGTCGTTAAGATGTATGTTTAGAATGTAGAAAGGTCACCAGCTGAGACAGAACAGGTATGTAATTGCAGTACTTGGGAGTTGAGGTACGGTCCCCGAGGATGAGTTAAATTCAGCATAGAGAGACTGCTGACCAGCACGCAGGAAGACCTGGGTTCCATCCTAGCACCGTTTAAACTCAAAACCAGATGGCACTAGAAACCGTGTTGAGAAAGTGAGAAAGAGTAAGGGGAGCAGGGGAGGGAGAAGGAAGAGAAAAAAACTAGAAAGAAAAAGAAAGGTCGTGGAGTGGGGGGTTGCTACTGGACGTGTGGAAAGGGGAACCGGAAACAAGCGTCTTCATTGGCAACAGAATTTGATTTTTTTATTTTTGTTTTTGTTTTTCGAGACAGGGTTTCTCTGTGGTTTTGGAGCCTGTCCTGGAACTAGCTCTTGTAGACCAGGCTGGCCTCCAACTCACAGAGATCCACCTGCCTCTGCCTCCCGAGTGCTGGGATTAAAGGCGTGCGCCACCACCGCCAGGCCAACAGAATTTGAAAAGCTAGACTGGAATAGGGTCTCTAATTTAAGACCACCAGTAAATCTGTACAACACAGGGGGGAAACTGGCCCCCACTCAGGGAACAGGGATGGGCTGAGGACCCTCGGGCAGCAGCTCCTCCCGCACTCTGCACAGCTCGGATCTTGTTGCAGCTCTGCCCACCCTACGGCCGAGCTGCAGAGCAAGGCCGAAGCCGGACCTAGCGGGAGCCCGGACCCAAGCGGGTAGTGGGAGCGGGACAACACCGGACACAAACTGGGCACAGATTCCCTAGTGACGCAAGGATGCGTCACGTAGCACTTTTCCATCTCCGGCTGCACTCACCATCCCGTTGCCCAGGAGGTCCTACTGACGCCCTCCTCCGGGTTCCGGGTTCCGGGCCTCTCTTCAGGGCACAGCAGGACACGGACCGAGGCAGAGACCCCAGCCAGCAATGCCCAGCCAGCCCCTCCCAATAAGAGCCTCAGTCCTTTGCTGGCTTTGCGAGGCGGCGCCCGCCCTTTCCAGCGGCGCGTCTCATTGGACAGTTACTGCAGTCCCGCCCCATCACCCTGAGGGATAGAGGGGAACGATGGGGATAAATTCCTGTAAGCATCCTCCAGGTCCTAGAACCTTAAGTCTAGAATCTCAAACTGATTGGGGCAGCTAAGGAGAAACGTACATAAACTGTCTAGCTTTTTTTTTTTCTTTCTTGAGACCGGGTCTCATTAGCACAGGCTGGCATCGATGAACTTAAGTAGCCAAGGATGAACTTGAACTTCTGATCCTTCTGCCTTTTAAGTGCTGAGATTATATATAGGTGCTATCATGCCCGGCTGTGTTTTTGCTGTGTTGGAGATGTTACTTAGAGCCTTGTGCGTAGCAAGCAAGCACTCTACCAATGACTACACCCCCAGTTCCCTGACCCTTTTGGGTCTCTTTTCTTTGTAAGAGGACTGGGTCTATATAGCCTAGGGCTGGCTCCAACTCCTCCCAAGTACTAGAATTTCATTCGTAGGACACCTGACGGGCCATGGACTTGTTTGCAGATCACTAAGGAGTGCGCTCTTATTAGCTCTGCCTTTGTCCATCTCAAACCAGCTGAAATTTTTAGATCCGGATTGATGGAGCAGACATGAAAACAAAGAGACCAACCTCCACAGAAGCGGACCGTTCTTTAATCAGAACCACAAAGGGCAGTGGGAAGAGGGGGTGGAGTTTCATAGCAAATCAAAGGGAACTTTTGGAGTGGATGATCCTGTCTGCAGGTGTTTCCCTACAGAGGAAGGTTGTGCGTTATCAAGAAGGCATCGCCCAGCTCCTAACCACCGCAAATGTTATCAGTTTGTCAGCTCTCACCGCTCAGTTAGCTCCGCTCACCACAAAAGCCCTTCAGAAAACACCACCTTTTCTTTTTTAAATATATATATATATATATATTATGTATGAAATATTCTGTCTGTGTGTATGTCTGCAGGCCAGAAGAGGGCACTAGACCTCATTACAGATGGTTGTGAGCCACCATGTGGTTGCCGGGAATTGGACTCAGGACCTTTGGAAGAGCAGGAAGTGCTCTTAACCTCTGAGCCATCTCTCCAGCCCCCAACACCACCTTTTCATTACTAAGAGTCTGCAAAAAATGTCTGATGGGAACTGGAGATGTACCTCAGTTGGCAGAGTCCTTGCCTAGAATTCAAGAAGCCCTGGATTTAACCTCCAGTAGTGTTATTTTAAAAACAAATAAAACATAAGAAGGCCCAGTGTGGTGGCACAAGCCTTTGATCCCAGCTTTCCAGAGGCGGAGGCAGGTGGATCTCTGAGTTTGTGGCTAGACTGGTCTACAGAGCAAGTTCCAGGCCAGCCAGGGCTACACAAACTATGTCTCAAATAATATTGTTTTTATTACTGGAGGGAAACACACTATGGCATGACTTTTTTTAAAAAATGCGTATGGGTATTTTGCCTGCGTGTATGTCTGTGCACTGTATGCGTGCCTGGTGGAGGACTGAAGAGGACATTATACCATCTGGGAACCACAGATGGTTGTGAACTGCTCTGTGAATGCTCAAGAGCATCCAGTGTTCCAGCTGAGCCATCTCTCCAACCTCCAGGGACAGTTCCCGGCCTCCACCATGTGTCTTCAGGCTTGCACAGCTAGCACTCTTATGCCATCTCACTGGGCCTGACAGCTAAGCTTTTGAGATGAGAGCTATAAAATTCCACCCTCTGCTCACACCAGCACCACTTCTCTGAGGAGGTGGACCTCGGATGCCTTCTCACCTCACACTTCACCTCAGACCCCTGTTTCTGGAGCCTATAAGGCCTCTAAGTGCTACCCCTGGGGAGGCCAATGCAGACTTGGATCTCCCATCTGATATCGACCATCTCTTGTCTTTACAAAGCTTGTTTCAGATGGACAAATAGAACCTGGCTGGATAACATCAAATTGGTTTTTAAAAATCTAGAATGAGCCAGCGGTGGTGGTGCACGCCTTTAATCCCAGCACTCGGGAGGCAGAGGCGGGCAGATCTCTGTGAGTTGGAGGCCAGCCTGGTCTACAGGCTCCAAAGCTACAAAGAAACCCTGTCTCAGAAAAAAAAAATCTAGAATGTTAGCCCCAAGGGGCCAAGGATGTTTACAGAGTTTGTTTGCTACAGTGTTTCTTACTGGAGTCATGGCTCCTAGCTCACAGCACACACACACACACACACACACACACACACCCCAGCCCCATAACCACTCTCACAGTGAACTATTCTCACCTCTCCCGTGGCAGAGGTACCTCACTCTTCTCTAATAATTGCAGAAAAGGTGCTCTGGCTTGCCCAGAAGGGAGGGTAGAGCTCCACCTCTGGAGCTCTACCTCCTTCCTGTACTGTAGGACGACTCAAAGGAAAAGGGATGTGAGGGCAGACTAGAACCCACACACCACCGCTCCTCCTGCCCATGGCCAGGAGCCTCCACACGGTCTGGTGAGGCGTGGGGCTGCCTGCCCTATCCCAGCCCTCAGACTGGAGGGGACTAGGGCAAGTCCAGACAGCGGGAAGGTTTGGGGAAGGCAGCCCCCATCTCCTTGGCCCCTCTACCAGCTGGGACTTCTGGTTCCCCTAAACTGACACTCTCTAAAAGGATTTATTTTTAACTATCTGTAAGTCAGGACCTGGGCACGCACACATGAGTACAGTGGTCTGAGGGGGCCAGAGAGGGCACCAAGTTACAGGCAACAGCTAGCCACCCCATATCGGCACTGGGAACCAAACCCTGGTCGCATTCTGCGCTGGTTAGTTTCTTCAGCTTGACTAGAGTCACCTAAAAGGGGAAACCTCAAGGAGTTGTTTTCATCTGATTGGCCCATGGATATGTCTATGGCACATTTTCTTAATTTCTAACTGATATAGGAGGGCCCAGTCCACTCTGGGAGTATCAACCCTAGGCAGTAAGCCTGGGCTGAAGGGCAGATGAATGTGAACTGGGGAGCACAGTTTGAGGTTAGTCTGAACTAAAAGAGAAGAGAAAGGAAATGAGATAGTCGGCTGGACAGATGGCTCAGGAGTTAAGAGCACATACTTAACTTGCTACCCTCACAGAGGACCCAAATTCAGCTCCCAGCACCCATTTCGGACGGCTTCAGGGAATCCAACACTCTTGTGGCTTCTTCGGCCACCCACACGCACATGCACATACCTACATCCGGACACGTAATTAAAAATAAGTCTTAAAAAGAAAAGAAATAGTCTTCAATAGACTGGTGGTCTCCTCTCCCTCAAGACATTTTATTGAAAGTGTTATTCGGCTACAGCACTGATGTCAGAATCTGCAAACCTCGAGGGCAGAGCCCAAGTACCAAGAATCTCCAGCGCAGATTCCCCAGCGAGGGGGGCGGGGCTGCGCTAATTATGTCTGAAGAGCTTCAGCCCCATCCAGGTCCAAAGGTGGAAGAACACGTACACGGGCACAGTGACTGGCAAGAGCAGGCTGTAGAAACACAGGCTGCTGGCGCTGGTGCAGTCCTGGGGGAAGCCTTCCTCCACAGAGGCGGAGTAGAACAGGCCTGCCAGGGACACCAGCGGGATGAGGACAGTCAGGGTGGGCAGGGACGGGATCATCCTCCTCCCTTCTTAAAAGGTAAACAGTATCACGAAAACTCGGTTGCTTTCAAGGTTCTGCTCCGGTCTTTTCTTCCCTTCGTCCCGACTCCTCATTCATCCAGGCATGAGGCCATGCTTCCTAAAGACACACAAGGAACCCAGCGGCCTGGGGCCGGTGGTGCGGGCTCCTCAACCTTGTTCTGACCCGATCCACCGATGCACCGACAACTGCAGCAGTTACCAGGGACCGCAGACAACACACACGTCCCCCGCAGAGCAAAGGATTCTGTACGAGAAAAGCACAACCGAGTGACAAAATGGAGGGGAAAAAGGGAGGGGAGAGCAAAGGAAGGGGTACAGAGAAGCAGCCAGCAACTCCAGTACTGAGCGGGTTAGAGACGAAAGAGGATTGCTGAGACCTGCAGGTTGGCCTCGAACGTGTGGTCCTCCTCCATCAGCGTCCCCAAGCCACTATGCCCAACTAGTAAACAAATCTTCTAAAAAGAGTGCCTTCCAAAACTGCCTGTGGTGACTCACGCCAGGAATATCAGTACTGAGGGGGAGGCATTAGAATGGCACCTCAAAACACCACAACGTGTCATCTAGTCCTTTGGGAAGTAAGTAATTTGAAAAGTAGAATGACGGGCAGGTGCTGATCGTGTTTTGTGAACTGGGGACGTGAAAGGAGGCCTACAAACCCTGATTCACGTTAGACGAAGGCAGACCTCAGCACCTGAGTGGATGCTTCCCATATGCCGAGGACCGGCTGGGGACCAGCACCGGAACTGGGAGATTCGTCACGAGCCGCCTGCCATCACTGCACTGACCGAAAAACAGCACCAGCTCTGGACCCACGGGGACGCGAAGGGGTACCGGGGTCCCGCTGCCACCTCTGGCCCGCGGAGGGAAGCGATGGCCAGGCGGACAGAGCCGAAGGGAGCCGGACAGAGCCGAGCCGAAAGTGAACCAGTCAACCGAACGGAACCGGAGGCGTCCGTGGCGCAGACGCCTATCTGGCGCGAGGCGGCCAAAGCCCTGCCCCTGCTGCTTCCAACAGCTCGTCCGCCGGGTCTCTCGGGACCTCCTGACCCTGAACTCACCGCTCGCGGGCCAGCAGGGATCCCGGGGCAGGCGGCGCCTAGCCGTGCCCGTCACCGCTCCTCGGAGGCGGGGCACCCTCGGCCAGCGGCCCCGTCAAATCGCCTGCAGGGGGCGGAGCGAGAGACCCAGATCCCGCGATGGAACGGACCCGCGCGTGCTCATTGGACAGCGCGCGACTTCGCCCGCGCTCAAGCTCCGCCCCCGAGGTCTTGGACGACAGGTAAAGCCAGAACCGCGACGAGAGGCGCTTGATAGAGGGGTCCGCGGGCTCCCCGCAGGCTCTGGCTGGGCGTCCTGTGCGCGGTTCCCGTTGGAGGTAGGATAGGAGCATATTTGCCGCAGAGTTTATTCATGGCTTTCCAGACCACATTCAGAAGCCTTCCCTACTTCTCTAATGGATAAACTGGAAGCCGAAATCCCTGAGCCTCTAAAGTAGAAGGAAAAGAGTCTAATCGGTTGTTTTACACATGAATTTGTGAATGTCAAAATAATGGTTTGGACCGGTGTGATGGCTCAGCGAGTATAGGCGCTCGCTGCCAAGCCTGACTTCCTATTTTCTCCCATTATCCTCTGACTTCCTTTCACACAGGTACTGTGGCACTCCCGCGTGTACTCACGTAAAAAGTGTAAAATGTTCGTGTCCAGGCGTGATGGCATACATCCCTAATCCCAGCACTCGGGGGGCAAAGACAGAAGGATTTCTGTGAGTTCAGCCTGATTTACCCAGCAAGATCTAGGTCATCCGGACTGTATACAAGACCCTGTCTGGGCGTGGGCTGGCGGTTAGGGGGATTCGTGTTCGCAAACGCTATCTGTCCATGTTGCCAGCCACTACTTGCATACGGATACAGAGTGGAATCTCTAAGTCCAGAGTACAGAGGAATGAGGCTGAGCTTGGATTCTATGCGCTACTGTACAGTGGCCTCCACCCCTTCACCTTCCTGCAAGCCAAAAGATCAGAAAGTTTTTCCTCCCAGAAGTCCGTAGCAGTGTAGAGTCCGTGCAGTTTTTAATTGGACCACAAGGTGGCAGAAGAGGGCCAAGAACAAAGCTGTCTTGTGGTCTGTACACAGTTGCTTGCCTTCCCACCTGCACGCACACACAAAAATCAGATAATAAACGTTTTTTAATTAAATATTTTAAAAATGGGACAAAACTTAAGAGCCAGCAAGAGAGTTCAAGTGGTCGAGGCACTCACTACACAAGCCTGACTCCTCCAAATTGTCCTCTGACCTCTGCGTGGAGAGGAACACATCCACATTAGATAAACAAATACACCCGGGTGGTCGGCCGACATAGCTACCTTAAAATCTGGGACTTGGGCACCTGTGTGACAGGCTTTTCCTGTATGGATGCACTGCACACATATCTCACCCCAGGAAGGGCCCCGTCTCAGACCAAAGGGTGGTCGTCATCAGATGTGGTGAAGCAATTGAGTGAGCTAATTTGGTGAGACGGTGAGTTCTGCTGGGGTTGCTTCCAGGAATGTGGGCGGGGCTCCTTACAGGCGTGGCAGTGGCTCAGAAACAACTGCAGCACCGAAGCCTGCTGGCGTGGAGCGCGGTGGCCAGCGCTGCTTGACGGAGTTGCAGCATTCGACGTCGCAGACCACCCTGCTCAGCACCTTTGACCTTCACTCTCAATGGTTCTCAATATTAATGCCTTTCCCTTTGGGAAATTTTGTGCGGGCTTTGGTAAAGGGCGGAGATGCGTACAATGGTAGCCTCTCTGAACAAAATAATACTTTGGAGGAAAAATCCCCGCCACTATGGAACCAGGAAAGTGAGAGATCCCAAGGGTGAAATGTCTACAGTGCAGATCCGGAGCCTAAACCCATTAAGGGCGGTTATGACCAAGTTTTTGGTCCCCAAATGAATTCATAAAGCCGGATTTCTGATGCTGATTACGTGAGGGTTTTTAATTCAAACTCGAGTTTGGTCGAGTTTCCACACCAATGCAGCACAGTGGGTGAGAGAAGTGCAGCCCCGAACCCGGGGAAGGGGCAAACTTCCCTCCCGTAATCAGCTCATTCTATGACTTAAGATGAAGCCCTTCCTTTAAAATGGAGTTTGCAAAGTCAGGTCCTCACAGGGCAGGAGTTAAATATGGAGAACTCAGAATGGTGCAGTGTCATGGGAGAAGAGTAAGACATCAGAACCTTCCCTTTGGGAGCCATGAGGGGAACAGGCCCACTTAGTAATACTGTCTGCTCCCCAGAAGTACTTTTCCCAAGGTCAGGAATTTGGGGATGGACGTCCACTCCTGGGGGCTTGAGGAAAGTTCCTGCTTGATAAGGCAGTCATTTTCCTGTCTCTAGCAAGAGGGCCTGGTGGGCCTTCCAGAACCCTTAACTGGTGCCTATTGTCAAGGTCAATGCTAGGTAACTCACCTCCCCCACCCCAGCTCACGAGCCTCTTGTCTCCTGTTTGATCCGGTGTGAAACTGTTTAAAAGGTTTAATCCCAGCACTCAGGAGGCAGATCTCTGTGAGTTTAAGGCCAGCCTGGTGTACAGAACAAATTCCAGGAGAAGCGCCAAAGTTACAGAGAAACCTTATCTCAAAAATTTTTTTTAAAAAAATCTTTTCTCAATTGAATGCTGCTGGCAGCCATCCCAGTTCACCCTCAGATCATGTCTCCTCCTTCTCTCCCCCTGCTGACTCCACACCTTCTCTTTGGAACCTGAACCGCCCCCCACCTCACACACACACACACACACACACACACACACGCCACCCCAGCTGAAGCAGATCTCCAGTAGCCTATGCCAACCTGGGTGTCACAAAAGCTAGGAGCTGGAGTGCATTGCATGGCCTGCCGGCAGCTCAGCAGATTGAAGAGCATCCTTTCCAGGTGGCTCCTGGCTCTCTGCTTCTTCCAGGCAGCTGGACTTGTCTGAGAGTCTTCCTTGTAGCTTGGCTTGTCTGAGAGACGTAGTCATCATTCTCTCTCTCTCTCTCTCTCTCTCTCTCTCTCACACACACACACACACACACACACACACACACACTTGCAGGCAGAGGGGCATAGTGAATCCGGTCAGCTTCAGGGATATCCTGAAGCTCTTTTGAGTTGCTTTCTGCCTGTATCATGAGCTTTTCTGCAGGGTGGACTGTTTCATTCTAGGAGGGAACCGTTGTCCAGAGCAGTCAGTTCTGACCTCTTCTGAAAACACGGCTAATGGCACTTGTTATCTTTCTCTTCCACTTTTCAAATTCTCCCCACTGGCTTGTGTTTGGATTCAGGCATTATGCTGGCTCCTGTCACCTAGCAGGATGAACCCAGGCAGTACCCTAGCCAGCCCAAGGTCCTATGGCTGCTGGGTCACTATGAAGTAGCAAAGGTCCCTTTAAGAGACAAGCTCCAGCCACACTCCAGCTCCCTGCTCCCGGCTGCCCTTCTGAAGAGGCAGGCTGCTCCTTCCCCCTTCTTCCTCTTCCTCTCTGTATTTCTTTCTCTATTCCCTCCCTCACTCCCTTCATCTCAATAAAGCTCCCACATGAGCTCTGCCTGCATGGCGTGTCTGTCCCTCCCTCACCAAGGGCTCCCCACCTTGCTGGGTGGCCCGCCAAGGTCCTCCTTGTGCTGTTTTCCAACAGCTTGTTCATTAGGTCTGTTTCCTTGTATGCATCATCAGAATACTTAGTTGCTTCTCAGCAGGTCCTTTTTCTTTGGTCTGAAAGTTGAGGAAGGCCAACTCACAGCTTTGGAGAAGCGCTGGTCTAGATTTCTTTGAGGCAAGTGCTAAAATTACACTTTTGAGGCAGGTACTAAGTCCAGAAAACAGCTGAGAATCCAGAAGCTCCCAGACGTATGCAAGAGCTCTGGCTATGACCTTCAAAAAAATATTTTATGAGGTTGGAGAGATGGCTCAGACATTAAGAGCACTGGTATTCTTCCAAAGGACCAGAGTTCAAATCCTACACAGTGGCTCACAACCATCTGTGACTCCAATTCCAAGGCCATCTATTGCCCTCTTCTGGCCTCTGCAGGCTGCACACACAGTATATAGACATGTGCCGGCAAATAACCATACACATAAATCTATAAAATGTATTTTATTACATCTATTTATTTGTGCATGGACATACACACGTGTGTCGCATTGAGCATATAGAGATCAGAGAACAATTTGTGGGTGTCATTTCTCTCCTTTCTTCATGTGGGTCCCGGGAAGCAAACTTAGGCTGCTGAACCTAGAGTTCAAAGTATTCTTACCTGGTGAAGACACAGAATTGGACCTGGGACTCTGCCCCCTGGCGCAGACCCAGATTAGCTTGTCCCTTCCCCCCAGCTCAGCCTTGCAGTCCAGTCCATCTCCAGTCCCAAGCCCCAGGAACATGAGTAACCTACTGGGCTGGGACTTGGGTGGGAGCTGCCCACTACTCCTGTCTTCCACCATGCTGTCCACAGACCTGCTCTTAATCCCGTGGGGCCTGCATGCAGGAGCTCCTCCTTCCACCACGTCAGAACTCCCTCCTGGGGACTCCACCTTTGGGTGTGAACACAATCCTCCCTAGCTCTTCCCAGGATCCTTCTCAGCATTTTCCTCCTAGGCATCTCCATTCCTCTCTGCCACCCACCGGTCTGCAGAAGCACTCACCACCAGTGACCCAGAGCCAAAGAGTGCACCGCCCATCCAAGGAAGACCAACACCAAGAAACATCTCAAACATTGCAAGTCCAGATGCCTAGACCCGCCCCCCCAACACACACACACAAAACATGAACAGCCAAAGCAATCATGACTCCATCGGAATCCAGCACCTCAGTTACACTAGGGCCCGAGAAGCACAATATAGCTGAAGCAGGAGACAAGGACTTCAGAATAGCAAATACGAATATGATAAAGGGCCTCAAGGATGACAGAGAAACCTAATGAAACCTGTGAAAACACAAGAGTTTCGGTGACCAGGCAGCAACAACTTCCCCAACCAACCTCTGCCACATCAGCCACCACTGGAGCCACAAGCCTCACCTGCACCAATTGGCAGAA